AACATCACGTGTACTTCAGAGAAGTAACCACGTGCACCGTCACGAGTACGCATCTAACATTCAAGACTCGATTTTAAAACAAACATAATACTTATCACATAAGAACTAAATTCAATGTAATTGTTATAAAAAAGAAAGAATTTTTCAGAAGAGCACAAAGCTCTGCACTTCCTAATTTAAATTATTTTTCATGGCGCACTATATTTTCGTCGGACGAGGACATCGCAGCCAGGGAGCGTCGTAACTATTTACAAGTTAGCCAACTGCAAAAGGAACGAATGGAGGAAGGAGAGTCTAATAAGTTCAAGGACAGAATCGTCAGTTGTGTTGCCAGGTTGGCTGGGCTATCCGGGACGAGTCGCGTCAATGTCATGGTGGCTAACGTTTCGGCCAGCGTGTTGTGGCCTTCTTCAGAGCGTACTGCTGCCAGAGCGTCGCAGTACGCTCTGAAGAAGGCCACAAACACGCTGGCCCGAAGTTAGCCACCCCTGACATTGAATGAATTGAATTGATATTTGCTATTTTACGTGCGAGACTCGGGCATTCAGGCCGCTTCTTTCGTCTGACCAACGTAAATTCTCCTACGCTCTCTTTCACCAAACTAGGAGAGAAAGTGAGGTATTTTCTTGGGCGAGAAACAGGCTATTTTAAAATTTAGCTCAAGAGGCGTCATTTAGGCTTGGAAGGATCTTTTACATGCAAGTAAATGCTACGAACATTGGGTTACTTGTCCGCTTATCTTCCCTTCTGGCGAAAGGAAGGCGACGAGGATTTTTTCGGCCCTTAAAAATCACACGGCTTTGATCGGGGTTTGAACCCAGCCAACTTGGGTTACAACAGTCCAGTAGCGCTAACCCGTTAACACCTATCGCCGTTCGCATTGACGCGCTCGTCCCGGATAGCCCAGCCAACATAACTCCCGGCCGCGGAAGCCTACGCAAAACCAGTTTGCGTTGCCAGCACTAGCTGTCAAATCACCCCGTTGTAAAGCAAAATCGGACGGACAATACCTGCGAGCGTCCGGAGCGCGAGCGCAGCAGCTCGTGGGCGCAGCGCGCGTGCAGGATGTGCGCGCAGGGCAGCGCCTCGAGCGAGTCGGCCTCCAGGCCGAAGGGCAGCGCGCACGCGCCGCACTGCAGCTCCAGCTCCTCCTCCACGCACTGCGCCAGGCGCTCGTGCAGCGCCTGCTGCTCAGTGTCGCCCAGGCTCTCGTAGATGCGCCCCAGGCGCACGCGCACCGTGCGCACCAGCAGCTGCGCACCGCACCGCGCCCACACGTCTCAACGTCTGCCGCATCAACATTCATTGGTTCGTGTCAACTGCTATGGACATTAGGCCTGTACGTGTAGTGTATGTTTTTAGTCACGGGAGGTAGTGGGAGCTTCTTGCGTGAATAATGCGTTGGTGGATTGATTGGTTGTTTGCTTCCGGGGATGTAAGCTGCTACTGTCATTAGGCCCGTAAGTGTAGTGCATGTTATCATGGGAGGTGGCGGAACCTTGCTGCGTGACTATTGATTGATTATTTCATAGTTTCGGGTGCGTTCACTGTTACGGTTATTAGGCCCGTAAGGGTAGTGTATGTTTTGTATCATGCAAAGAGGCGGTGTTCTTATACAGCTGGATGGTGAGATCCGACGCCAACCTACACGCCATCTTGGTATCTCCCACCAGCAGGCTACAAGTTCTAAACTCCCGACGTGTATGGTAGTGCAGTGCATGTAACTGTAAGTAAGACCAATGAATGAAGAGCAAATGGAGGCGAAGTGTTCCAGCTGGTCGTGCGGGCGACACTGGACTGAAGCTGAGAGCTTAGGGCGAAACTCAGATTAGAGCTCCATACAGAAGTAAAGCTATGGGACAAGTAGAATAATTTAAAAGCTACTCACAATCACTGAAATTATGAAGATGATGTACAATAGATATACCAAAAAAAACTAGCAGATATGAAATAGTTAAAATTTAACAAATAAGGTAAAATAAATGGGGAATATATCATGATATCACATAAAAAGTAACTCCAGAAACTCCACGTGACGATACATGCAAGTAAACAGATGGCGAATCAGAGAACGTCTTCAGCAGCTAGGACTGCATTACTCAGTTCAATGAACCCTTATTTTACGTGGCAAGACTGAGACTATTGGGGTTGTTCTTCTGCCCAGCGCGAATTTCACTACGCTCCTTGCGCCAACTCCCAGCAAAAACAGGTATCATCCTTTTGGCGACAAACGGCAATCTCAATTTAGCTCTGAGGCTTCCTTCAGGCTTGAGAATCTTGCACCTGAAGTAAATTTACAATAGTTGGTTTTACTATAGAGTAATGAACTATCTCCTTAGTCTGCAGTTTTACTGTACCTCCTAAAGAAGGCGTAAGAAAGACGAAGGCATACGTTGATTACGGCATTGAGGCAAAGGCACTTGGTATTGAATTGAATTTGCCTTATTTTACGTGGCGAGACTCGGGCCATTAGGCCCGCTCTTCCGTCTGACCACGCAAATTTCGCTACGCTCCTTGCACCAACTAGGAGAGAATGGAGGTATTTCTCGGGCGAGAAACAGGCGATTTGAATTTAGCTCAGAGGCGTCATTTAGGCTTGAGAATCTTTTACATGCAAGTAAATCTACTAACATGGGACAGCCGGCTTTACTTCCCCTCCGAAGGAAGGGGTACGGCAGGTGGTATTAACAAGCTTTCCTCTACGATTTCGACTACTTTTACTTGATGTTCACCATTTTACCGCCAGTTTCATAGCGCGACTCTACTTCCCCATGGGAGTTTATTGTAAAGCGGATGAATCTCCCGTTTGTATTCACGCCTTCGCATTACCTTTACCGTTCACAGGAAATGGTGAAGCGGACTTAGGGGACCAACACACAGGTTGCGCAAACTTGGGCTGGCGCATATCTCGTTTGCATTCAGATTGTAACGCGGAGCGACCAGACGCGATGCGATGCAACGCGACGCGATGCGATGCAATGTTACATAACACTGCCGCTTGTTCGCCCTGCCTCACCGCTTCGCATCCTCTGAGTTTAAACACTAAGAGGCGAAGACAAACCAACAACGAGGTTTCTGACCAAGAAAAGGGGGAGACATGAAAGTGTAAGCCTTCTCCCTCAACTCGGTTGAATATGGCACTCATCTCATTGACTTGCCAATTGCGGATCCAGGTAGCAATGATGTCTGCTGGGTCCTGGTGCAGACGATTGTTCCGTACTGATTTAAGATTATAAAGCTTTGGTGTGAAACCGCCTTTAAAATCAGACCAGGTTATTTTGGTAAAATTGCATTAGTGAAAAGTAATTGTCGGTCCGGATGGTCGAGATCGCTAAGGCAGTAGTGCCGCAGCGATCTCGAACCGAAGGATCGCGGGTACGAGTTCCGCCTCGAGCATGGTTGTATTGTGTTCATTCTTTGACTCCCTATCAACATCATATCGTGTCATCCTCATAGTTACCATTCCGGTACACGCAATAGTGGTCGCTAATAACCGAGAAGTTGATGCGACCTTAAATTTAAAAAAAAAAGTCGTAATTGTTTGTCGCTGTTTTTCTTTTTGCAACCGATTGCATGTACGCCCAACATTTTGAAGAATTTTTGTACACGAAAGAAGTCCTTACTTGATTACGTATGTATAGTGTGTGTATCTCCGGATGGTAGGGTTGGCTTTCCACGCATAACGGATATAGAAGCTTAATTTAGTTTCGCTCAAAGACGCATTGATCGGCAATGCGTTTGACCGGTGGTGTCATTTTTGAGATCTCGCTCTGCTGGAAAAGAAAATAAGATATTAACCAACATCTTATGTACTATATAGTATGTAATAGTATGTACTTATGTACGTAATAGTGGTGTAATTTATATTCTATCCAAAGCGCTGATTAAAAGCGCTCCCCATCTCGATCAGGTTTTTTGTCCAGTTTGCCTGATCCATTGAGCAAATGCTGAGATGGCCCCTTGTTTTGCTTCAGGACGTAAATGTACCTTCACTATGCGCACGTTTTCTTGAACTCTCCTTTTGCTTGAAATGGTAAGAGTAGAGGTAAGGGCGAGTTGCTATTTTGTTAGCAATGCAGAAAAATCGTACTTGCAATTCGTGTACAGATGCAAATAAGTTTTCTATATCTCGGAAATGAAAATGACTATTTTTCAAATATTGCTAATCTCGCGGTTTTAAAAATTTATTTTCATTTATTTATGTTAAACTTTTACTCATCTTTCAACTATTTATAGTTAAAATGACGGGACGGGATTCTGGAACTCAAGATAACGTACGCAAATAATCTTCTCCCCCCTACGTCACATACAGTTTTTACTGTTTTTTGACTGAATAAATCTATATTTAAATTCAAATCTAAATCTAAGAAGACAATAAAATTCATAAACGTCGGCAAGCTTAATTATTCTGTTTATGAACTAACTTCTCAAGAATAATAATTATTTTTAATGCTGAATTTTAGAAGATTATTAACATCGGTTAGACCCACGGTATCTGTGCAAATGTACCACTTTTGAACCTTACTTTATACACTGGACTATGCAAAAAAAAGCAATTACTGGATTATTCATGCGCCCCTGACGGAGATAGTGCCGTTGTCATGTCACGAAGTGTGGCCCATGCGGGGTGAAATTTAACGTTGCGTGCGGCGCTCAGTACGTAGTGTATGCGAGCAGGGTAGTCACGTGTGATAGAACTTACTCAGTCTTAGTGGATACAAGGCACACAACTGAAACCGATGCTGTATCGAGAAGAAACCATAAGAAGAGCGTGTAATTTTATGAAGAAATTCGACGCTAGCTCAGCAATGCTTTAACAACGTTCGATATTTAGGATACAGGAATAAAGAGAATTGTTCACTAACTCACGATTACCTTGCCCCTAACTAGCTGTAACGAGTTTACCATGTAAAGGCTTGAAATGTGCGAAAAAATGTAAATTTGTGTTTGTTTACATTAGAACTCTATTGTCGTACGCTCGTGTAGCTCTCCATACATACCTGTACTCTCTTGCGAGGTCCAGTACGGTCTAATTACATTATCATAAAATCGTACATTTAACTCCACATTGTAAAATATACTGACTTTTTGCAAACTCGCAGTTTGAAGTCTTCATTCATCACACCATAATAATGCTTAAAAATCTGTTCAAAGCAGTTCCGCAAAAAAATTGCAGGGGATAGTTAATTGATAAGCAGAGAAAAAACTTGCTAAGTTTGCTTTTCGAAATATTTTTGCTCAATTTTGAATTATTACTGCTATCGATAATAATGCTATTTTTCTTCTTCTTCTTCTTATTATTATTATTTTAAATGTTTTACTAAAAGATTATCACTCATATGCAAACTAGGGAATTTGGCACATATTTTGGTATATATGCAGTGCAGTTACATTCTACAATTTCAACTATTTCCTTGATAGCAAAACTCGGGGATATTTTGACTAATTATGATATTCTAGCGAATCAGTAATTGGTAACGATCACCAATTGCTGAGACACAGCTTCATTTAAGAATCGATTTTTCAACTCTGTTCGAAAATGGACCGCGATTCCAGCACTTTACTCGTGTAAAGAGATATGCAATTATTGAGCGAGCGCCGAAAGGCGAACGTTGACCCGGAACTGCACCCGGAACCGCGCCCGGAGGCGAGTGTCTGGCCCCCTCCGGAGCTGAGTCAGTTTTCATCGAATCCACGCACCACGCGTTCTAGTAATAATAATTAGACGTTCTCTATTAATAGCAATAATAATACTTTTTTAAAGTATTTCAATAAGTATTTATGAATGATTGTTACGGAAGTGCTGACGAGAGAATTTGTCACATATTTCGGTACGTATGTACATACATTTTACATACATTCTACGTACATATGTACATACATTCTACAACATTCACTACTCCCTTGATAGGAAAACTCACGGATATGTTAGCTATATCTCAATGTATTTACAGTGTCCTTTGACAGATCATCAGCTGTTACGGTGTCATGCAGTCGGGAGCTTGAACGTCACCGTAACAGCTGATGATATGTCAAAGGACACTGTAAATAAATAGAAGTATAATTACCGAATGCTATCCGGATCAGAAATTGATAGTGAGCACAAATTGCTAAGGCAGAAGTATCATTTAAGCCTGATTTTTCAACTCAATTCAAAAATTGTCGGTGAGCACAGCACTTCACTCGTGTAAAGCGATATGCAATTATTGCGCGAGTGCCGAAAGGCGAACTTTGACCCGGGGCTGAAAGCGATACCCATGCGCGGAGGCGAGTGCCGGCCGCCGCCGCCACCATTCCCGCCCCCGCCGCCGGCGCGGATCATGCTTTCATCGGATCCACGCGCCTTCCCCGCCGCCGCGCCAACCCCCGCCACCGCTCCCGCCGCGCCCGCGCCCGCGCCTCGGCCGCTCCACCCGCCAGCAGCCGCCGCCCGCGCGGAGCATGCTTTCATCGGATCCAACGCGCTCGCCCCCACTGCCCCCGCCCCCACCCGCCGCCGCCACGCCTCCATCGCCGCCCCGGCCCTCGCCACCCGTCTTCGCCGCTTTCGCCGCGTCCCAACCGTCCCGCCCTAGCCGCCGCCGGCCCCGCCGGCCCGCTGTCCCGCGCCCCCGCTTCCCCGCCGGCGGCGGAGCGTGGCTTTTATCGGCTCGCACGCGCCGCCGCCGTGCGCTGGAGTCGCGTGCGTCACGCAATTAGTGTGAACGCAGTTTCCCCATCGCGTTGCGACGCCGCGCTTACACGTCTAAAACCTACGCTGTGGAGTTTCCAATTGGGACAGGAACGTGGGTATGCAACCGTATATCGCAGGGCCGCCGCCGTTCGATTTGTTTTCGCTGTTTCCGGCGTCGCTTCCGCGAGGCTCTTTGTTCGCGTGCTCCCTCTTAAACAACGCCCGCCCGCTCGCCCCCCTCCCTCCCGCCGCGCTTGTGTGCACGGGGCTGGGACGCCAGCTACAGAGCCCGCTGTACGCTCGACGGAAAGGAAGTTGCACCGGTCGCAGGCAAAGGCAGACACGTTCACACTTTCTGTGAACGTATCAATTGAGGGGCTTCTTACAAGAACCAAACAAAGACCAAAATTCCATATTTTGACATGTTTCACCACGTTATTCCCTACAACTGGCGCTATGTGCTGGGATATTTCCTTCCGGCAAGTGCCAAACAAATTCAATGATAAGAGTGCGAGAGAAATTATAAATTCATTACTATACACGTCTACGATATGAAGTTTTTGGTGCCTCCTGAAAGATCTCGAATTTGGACTGGTTCGGTTATAAGAAACCCTTCAATTGATTTGGTGGTTTTGCACAGTGTATCCCCATCGGTGGATTGTGAGTTCTTAGCTTAGTTTAATACCTACGAGATATTTTTAATGTTACTTAATTTTAATTTACATTTAAACAATTGTACACGTAAGCTTCCGCGGCTCGAATCCATAAATTCTTGGCTCTCCGGGAAACGCTGCGTCGTTGGCTGAGAGGCCGACGTTTCGCCTGACATGTCGCAGGTTTCGCCACTGCCCTGAGGAAGCCTGCGACATGTTACGCGAAACGTCGACATCCCAGACAACGACGCGGCGTCTCCCGGATAGCCGAGAATTTATTCATTTAAACAACTTGAAAATGTTAATTATATTACATAAAATATATAAGCACTTACATTAATTTGAATAATACAAATAAACATTAATTTGGTAGTGCACGTTTGTTGTAATATGGTCAAAATAACGGCATTAGCGGTCCAGTTGTCCACTACCATTCTTTACGCTTTCCTACTTTTTTTATCGAGTATTACAATAATTTGATGATCATTATCGAGATGTTGATCAAAATTTGATCATTATCGAGATAATGATCAAATCTATTATTTAGTTTCTTATTGTATTCTTTTAGTTGAGTCAATTTCAGTTGTTCCTGACAATTTTCTCTCAATTAAGGGGAGCAGAGAGGAAGGACTGCGAAGGAAAAGGGAGAAACAGAGAGAGAGAGAGAGAGTCAACGACGTAAGAACTAATAATTGCAATCGAATGAGAGCATTAGCAGAATACTCGAATTGCATAAGTGACCTCATTAGTTAGGTATTATGATGCTGTTACCTAAGTCCCACATTCCATTTCGGTCTCCGCAAGTTTAATTACGGATGCGCGGGCTGCAGCTGGGCAATAATATTCCGACTATAACTCCAGTAATACTCGGAGCGTAATAGTTGAGAAACTAACTAAATTTCCTAACTGCTGTGATATGGTTAATGCCAAAGAACGTGCCACGTTTAAAACGAAATAATCATTTGAAAGTATTTTAGTAATATCTTGGGAACTCTTATTGAGATCTAATGAACTGAAAGAGCGAATAAAGATGTTAGATTTTACAATTGTTTTCACCAATCTCAACTTGTTCTTCAGCGATCGAAGTGTTGATAAGAATGAAAGCGTAACTTCAAAGATAAAATAATTTATACAAGTTAGGATGTATAGTACTGTAAGATGGCGTACTTTTGCACTTCTTTGTTTAACATTCTCCGGCCAGACACGTATTCCACAAATCGCTACTACTTACGAGTCAATTTAGAATATAATCAATTCCCACTGGCAAAGGAATACCACGAGAGCATTCCATCTCCATTTGGTGTTTATTTTCTTACTCTTAACTGGAAGTGATCTGCAAAGTTCGAAAAGGACATTTATTTCATTGCTGAATCTAATCCTGTGAGAACATGCAGGAATTAATTTTCTTCTTTAATGATTGCCAAGGTATACAAAATATCTGAAGTTTTAGTATATTTTTTATAATATAACAATTATAATTCTTTTCATCATAAATAAAATTTTGTAGTTAGATGAAATGACCTGTGAAAATCTTGACAACATAATGTTTGAAATAGTAGTTGAATTTTTATCGACTAAACCCCACCGTTTTACTTTCTTAGGAGGATGTCACATTAGGTATTTTCAGTACTGTAAAAAGTGAAGTGAACAATACCCGCCAGAAAACTGATAGAGCCGGTATTCATTTACTGTGGTTTAGGAGCCCTTCAACTATTTCGGTCATTGGGACCCATTCTAATGAGAAACTGATACGGAGAGTGATGAGATAAATTTTGATAAAGAACTGATGGAATGAGAAAAGGGGAAACGGGAGAACCCCTAGAAATATTGTCTATTGTCCGAATATTATTTCTGTCTACTTGGCAGTTGGGGGTGGGGCAGAGGGATGTTGCCTCTTTTTCGGGAGGCAACATTCGCGATCAACAAACAAATCGTAATGAGAGAACACAACAGTAGACGACAGAACCGCACACACAATGCCTAACCAAACATTTAAAGGTACCAAATGGCACTCTTCGATTTTCTGTTGCTTCGCACTGTAAGATTTAATTTTTTTAAATAAGCATCGGCCACTCTGCCGTGAAATCACAATTGAAGCCTCTGCTTGGATAACGGAACCCTCTCTCTCCTGTCGGCCGGTAGCTGTCAAGTAGACAGAAATATTATTCAGACACCTGAGCTCGCTTTGCCCACAGCAAATTCCATCTGGTTTGGCCGGGAATCGAAACCGTGGCTCAGCGACGTAAGGCGTCTGCGTTAGCCGTTACTCCCATCTCTGTTCTAGGAAGACATTCGGAGAGCACTGTCGACAGTCAACGAAGTTCCTCTATCCCAATTGGCTTCGTATTTCCATTAAGGCCCATTCACAATGCAAACATAAACATAAGCATGGCATTAACATGAAAGTTTGGACTATGTCCATAAGCGGACTCATTCACAATGCATTCGCATAAGCATAACACTAAGACGTTAACTTGAAAGCTTGCAAGCTTCAAGCTTTTGTGCTTATGCTTAAGTAAGACATAAGAAATGAACCAATGACAGGCCGGTAACTCAAAATCGAGAATCGAAATTGGAGCGAAGTCGATAGAAGAACTAACGCCATATAGGCCATGGACACATTCGATTACTTGAAATCGATTGTCACATAAACCAATAATAAACCAGAATGTCTCACAGCCAATAGAAACTCTTATTTTGCTTAGAGATGTTAGAGATAGTGAACATACTTCAGTCTATCACTTATGTTAATGTTTATGTCTATGCGCTATGCTTAAACATAGACAAGGAAACTTGTCACAGTATCATGGCTGTGGTATACACCAACGGATTTTTTTTCGCTGTATGTTTACGTTTGCGCTGCGAATTTATCTCGGTCGGCAGACTTCGCGTCGCGACGTACGAGTGCCCTCGCCTCGAGGCAGCACCGCGAAGGCCATAGGCCGCACGCGGAGAGCCGTAAGGGTGCCGGAGTGTCCCGGAGAGGGCCGGGGCGGCGGAGGCAAATCATGCGGTCGGGGGCTACGCCACGGCCCCGGGCCGCCGCCAAGAGCGTGGATTTCATGAATCCGGGAGGAGCGGGCTTCGTGTCCCGTTAACCTTTCATGGGTCCGGTCGAGCGAGGCCGTGGCGCGGTGTAGGCGGGGGCGGCGTTGTGGCGCGTGGCATGGCGCGGTCTGACGTGTTGGCGGTCGCGTAGGGCGGGGGCGTGGGCGGGGCGGGGCGGGGGGGGGAGGGCGGGGCGGGGGGAGCGGGGCGAGGGGGGGGCGGGCCGGGGCGGGCCGGAGCGGGCGTGAGGCGCGGCTGTGGCGGGACGTGCGGGCGGGTGTCGGGTCGCTGCGAGTGTGCGGGGGGCGGCGGCAGGGGGCGCGGGTGTGCGGGAACGGCGGGGGGCGGGGCGGGCGGGCGGGGCGGGGCGGGGCGGGGCGGGGCGCGCGCGGTGGGGCGGGGCCGAGAGAGGCCAGGGCTGCCAAGGGCAGGCCAGCTGTCAAGCGACCAGAGAGTACAGCAAGCGACCTCCCGGCCGCGGAAACTGTGTTCCCCGCTCGGCGCCGAGCGGTCCAGCACGGATTCACGGGGAACGCCACGAAGGGGTTTACCTACGAGTCAGGGATGTTGCAGATGACGTTTGCGCAGCAAAAAAGATTAGATTTCACGAGGAGAGGTTTGGTTGTATTATTTCTACTTGAAAAGCATTCTGTGGTTATTCATTCGCTCATAGGAGAACAACCAGTTGCTAACGCGAATAATACTGAATATGTCCCAAATTGGTATTCGGGAAAATTTGCACTCATAAATAAATGACTAATTGGGTTTTTTGAGTTTATTTTTTACCAAGAGTAAAATATAATGTTCACATTATTCCTAAGATATTATTGATAAGATGTTACATTATTCGCATATATAATTATTAAGTTTTGTACGTTAATTATTAGATATCAGGCACAAAATGTAACAACAAATTATTCAAGGCATAAATTCTTTAACATTGAAGGCAATGAATTTTGAGATTTAATTACTTCTCAAATTCATATTTGACCTTAGTGGTTTTCAGTTTTAGGGTTTCTACTCAAAGAACTATGCCTATTCAAGATCCGCAACATTTTATTTTTGTAGTTATTTATAATATGAGTTTATCGGAAAATAATCTTCTTTGTTATGTAGTTTCCATGCAGATGCATCTCAAAACAAGCATAGCAGTTCGTATTGCATGGTTCTTTCGTGAAGGTCTTAAAGCTACGATTTTTTTTACCAAAAAGCATTTTAACAGCAAAAATGAATAGTAAAACAAATTTAGAATTGTACAGTGTCCAGCCGATTTGATTTTTTTAAAATATGTCTTTCATTAGTACTGAATAAAAAATTATTTTATTTGTTGACTTATAATTTATATTTATAATGTTAACAATTGCGATATTCAACGACTTTCGTTAGTACAGAAAATTAGTAAAAGCTATATTTTGAATACGTATTATATTAACTTGATGGGGGGTGGGGTCACGAGACCGCCCCTCTACGGTAAAACACTGAATAAAATACAAAAAATAATATTGGAACATGTGATTCCGTTTCATAAATGTTTGAGTCCTATAAGCTTACAGCAAAGAAATTTAACACGAAATCCTGAAATAGAGTCTATTAGTTAAAATAATTCAGTTTTTACATAGTACTGCACTATTTATTCCATATAAGATGTTTTTTCAAAATCGAATAATATGACCACACATTGGCTTTCAATACTCTTGAGTTTATCGATTTGAGCGACTTTCGCACACCTTACAGGATATACTACTTCCACTATAATAATAATCCAGTTTTTAAAAAGATCCAAGAAAATAAATTAAAGCTGAAATAACGGCATTTGAGCGAAATTAAAATGCGGGAAAATTGGCATGATTTCGGCGGCCTTTCCTGTGCCTTTCCTCCTGTACCTGTCGCAGCGACGACAGTAATGAAAAGGGACGCCAGGTAGGCAGATATATTTTCGGCGGACGGATGCATCCTGTTACCGTTGGATTTGGCGCAGCCGAACGAATACACAGTCACGAACACGATCAATGCCACCTGAAAGCGGCTTATCACAAAGAAGGGAATCTCTAAATATCTGTAGACCGCGTGTCAAAAATAGAAGTGAAGGGTTGGTGGATTCTAAAGACAGCATCCCTCCGAGGAAGGCACGAGCTTTGTAGCTGCAGTAGCAGTGATACTATAAATTAAACTGAAAAACCCGCGTGACCCCAGTAATGTATCTGGGACTGAATTATACATAATATAACGACAGAGTAGCCAAAGTGAATTGATTGTGGAAAAAAATCTGTCTATGTGATCAACCATGAACCATGGAGATATTCTCAAATACCAGAAAACAATACTGTTTTCATTCTTTGCGGTAGTCGACGAAAGCGAAACACCTAATAACAGTATTGATTAAATTACTCCAAGTAATGTTCTGCGCAAGTAAAAGAAAAAAAACTATTGAATCGCTCCATTATTCCTGAGTTGATACATTATGACATTAATTAATGAATAACTTTGCAAATATTGATTTATTTTTAAATATAGTTATTTTTTCGTGTTAAAGAGGCCGAAAAACACGAAAAATTATATATTTAAATAAGTACAGAAAGATATCGATATAATTGAATAATAATAATAATTATTTTCAAATGTGTAGCCAATTTAAAATAACTTTGGCTTCTCCTATACTTATCAAAAACTCACTTGACTTCTCATTTTCTTTCAATTCAAACACGCAGAAAATCATTTTTTTCTAAATCCTAAATAATACTAAACTGAGAAGACTATGGAACGAAGCAGAATGAGATTCAATAGAGGAAAAGGAGAGGAAAGAAGAAAAGAAACCGAGGAGAGTAAATAATGAAGTAGAAGTGAAATATTAGAAATACATTAATAAATAGGATATGTGGAATCAAAGAAAAGATGAATAAAGAGATGCAGAAGGCCACTCTTAACAAGAAATTAATGGTTTATTACAATTATCAGAAAATGCACCACAATTAATCCATTATAATCCCGGCATTTTCCATTAAAATACCAATATAATATCTAAAAATACATCTATAAAGTATAGACCTCCGTTACAGGTAAAATAACAAAAAAAATACCACCATTAGATTTATTACATCGATATTTTTAATCGTATTTAGAGGTAATTTAAAGAAAGTTATTTCCAAACC